TCTGGGTAACTTTAGGAGAAAGAAAAAAGAAAGAAGTTATGGAAATGTAAGAATAAAGAAATGGCACAAAATGCAGGACAATCCTTAGAAGGAAGAAGAGGCCAAAAAGCTCCTGGAATTTAGTGACAGATTTATAGACACTCTCTTCAAGGTTAGAATGGCAACACCTCAGGAAAAATGTGCTCTAGCCATTTTTTTTTCTTTGACACTTTGTTCAAGATTCAAATTTCACAGAGAGAGAAACCGGTAGGTTTAGTTGTAGACAAACATACAGTTTAATTAAAGTCAAAGTGTCACCAGGTTATGTCCAATGAAAGGTTCATTTTCCCAAAAGAATATCAGGGAGTCATTACCAGTAGTGTGAGAAAGAGATATTGGGTTGGCAACAAGAACAGGTGTTCATTACGTCTAAAGAGGTATTAACAGCTGCATCATCCACTTTGCATCATCTGTTGCATCTGATGCTGTCTTTTCAGGAAATTTTGGGAAAGTGTCAGGGACCATATGACCTAAGCTATAGAGCAATTGCAAGAACTACACTCCAGGATTACAAAATGAGCTACTATTCTGCCCCCCGGACTACAGAATCTTCTATTGTTTTCTGCTTCTCAGACTTCTACATCCTCAAGGAATGAAAGATCAAGATGGTTTTTAGTTGTTTTAACAGCATACTTTCTTGAATGCAGGTCATGAATTCATGGGTTTCACAGTTTCAGACTAACAGATGTAGCATTATAAAAACTCTTTGCAAAATTCCAAAGGAGGTCAGTTCAAAAATGGTAGTTATAGATTTCTTAAATTGGCTCATGTTTATGTATTTTTTATTTATGTATTTTTTTATTTACAATGTGATATTTTGATGTCTGTACACATTGTAGGATAGTTGTATTGAGCTAATATATCTCCTTATATACTGATTTAGTTAGTACCTTTAAAATCTATTATTTTAGCAATTTTTAAGTATGCTGTGTTCTTATTAACTATGGTCACCATACTGTCAGATTGAACTTCCTGTAGAACTGAAATTTCTACAGTTCCCCATTTGCCACCTCAACCCCTAACCTCTGGTAAGGGCAGACTTTAAATCTGACTTCATTGCTTCTGTAGATTCAGAATTTTAACTTTTAGAGATTATATAGAGATTATGTCTTTCTGTGCCTGCCTTAATTAATTTAGCATAATGACCTCCAGGTCATCCGTGTTTCACAAAAGGTTTGCCTTCTTTTTAAGAGCAAATAGTATTATGTTGTAAGTTTAAGCTGCTTCCATTTCTTGGTTATTGTGAACAGCGCTGCAAGGAGCATGGCAGTGTCTATGTGTCTTTGACATAACTCATTTGGGTATCTACCCAGAAATGGGATGGTGGGGTCATAGTGAGTTTTATTTTTACTTTTGTGAGAAACACTATTGTGTTTTTCATAACAACTATACTAATTTACAGTCCTGCCAGCAATCTTGAGCAAGGGTTTTCTTTCCTCCATATCCTCATGAAGACTTCTTATCATTTGCCTTTGTGATAGTAGTGGTCCCAACAAAAGTGATGTAACATCTCCTTGGGGTTCTAATTTGCATTTCCCCAGTGATCAGTAATTGAAACATTTTTTCATATATCTGTTGGCCATTTGTGTATGTATTCTTTTGAGTAATGTTGACTCAGGTTCTTTGCCCATTTTAAAAATGGGTTTTATTTTCTTACTATTAAATTGAGTTTCTTATATATTTTATATAGTACTGCCTCATCAGATATTTGGCTTGCAAATATTTTCATCCAGTCTGTGTGCTGTGACTTCACTCTTTTGACTATCTGAAGCCTTTTAATTCAATGTAGCACTATTGGTCTATGTTTGCTTTTGTCACCTCTGCTTGTAGTGTCACATTTTTAAATCATTGCCCATATCAACATTGTGAAATTTTTCCCCTACCTTTTTGTCCACTGGTTTTATAGTTTCAGATCTTATGTTTAAGTCTTTAACTTATTTTAAGTTGATTTTTATATGTAACGTGAGATGAAGATTTCCAATTTCATTCTTTGTGTATATATTTGAGTTTTCCAACACCACTTATTCAAGAGACTACCCTTATTTCCGTTATGTGTTCTTCACATCTTCACCAAAAATTGGTGGCCTGTGAATGTGAGGGGTTTCTTTTTGAGCCCTTTGTCCTGTTATATTGGTCACTGTATCTGTTTTTATGTGAGTATGCTGTTTGGATTACAATAGTTTCATAATATATTTTAGTCAGACCATGTGATGTTAATATCTTTGTTCTTCTTTTGCTCAAGATTTCTTTGGTTATTTAAAGCTTTTTTGGTTCCATATAAATTTTAGGATTGTTTTTCTATTTCTGTAAAAAATGTCATTGGAATTTTAATAAGAATTAGGCTGAATCTGTAAATCACTTTGGGAGGCATGGACATTTCAATCATAGCGAATCTTCTAATTCATGAACTTGGGTATCTTTCCATTTATTTTTGTCTTCTTCAATTTCTTTCACCAATGTCATTTTCAGGGTACATACCTTTTACCTTTTTGGTTAAATTTACTCCTAAATATTTTATTGTCTTTAATGTTATTGTAAATGGGATTATTTATACAATTTCTTTTTCAGATAGTTTACAGTTAGTATATAGAAATGATTTTTGTATGTTGACTGTGTCCTGCAAGTTTACTACACTCATGTATCAGTTCTTGAGGTTGTTTTGGTACAGTTCTTGAGGTTGTTTTGTTACAGTTCTTGAGGTTCTGTATATACAAGATCATATCCTCATCAGAGATAATTTCAATTCTTCCTTACATATTTTGCTGCCTTTTACTTACTTATTTAGATTAATTGCTCTGCTAGAGGCACTTGTACATTTTGTTTAGCCTGAGTTCATCAATTCCCAAAGCAGTAGTATTTGATTGGTCAAGCTGATCTTCTTTCTTATGTGTTCATGTTTTATGTACAATAAAAACACTGGTATTGGGCCGGGGATTTAGCTCAGTGGTTTCACCGCCTGCCATGCAAGTGCCAGGACCCGAGTTCGATCCCCGGTACCAAAAAACCCAACACTGTTATTATTATTTGTCAATGGAAATAGGAAAAGCCAGGAGGATATAGTGTGAGCTGTGTGGCAAACTGAAATGTATTACAGAAGTGGAGTAGTGTGACCATGACCCCTGAGGTTTAGAGGACCATTTGGGGTAATAAGGCCACCTCAACACTTGGTTTTCAGCCTGGGCCAAGTTTGTCATAGATGCCACTCACATAGCTCTCAAAGCTGAAACTTCAAATTTGAATTAGTTACTATTGAGAAGAAGAAAATATTTCCTTCACTGAGAGTCTTCTGAGAACCAAACGCTGCCTCAAAGTCCACAGTAGCTACAAGCTACATGTGGCTCTCAAGTGCTTAAAAGTGGACAGTGTGATTGAGGAATTGACTTTTAAGTTATAGTTCATGTGAATCTATTTTTAACTGTGCATTTTAACAAATTTAAATATAGGTCAACTATTTCCTGTGAAAATTTCATGTCCTGATTAAAGTGAGTTATATATGTAAAATACTCACTGGCTTTCTACTGAGTAGAAAAAATGAATGTAAAATATTTCATTGATTTAAGCTTTTCTGATTAGGTCTTAAAATGATAGTATTTTAGATATATTAAAATGTGTCTACTGGAAAGTTTAAAATGATAAATGTGGCTTGCATTATAGCTCTGTTGAACACTGAATCTGATAGCTTTTACATATGTCATTTTACTGAATTGTTAAAATAACCCAGTATGGTAGGTACTACTCTTCCCATTTTCCTTACAGAGAAGGCAATGGAATGTGGCCCCCAAAACTCATTTAAATCTCTCAGGTTATAGGATTCAAACTAGGTCTGGTTGGTTCCATCTCAGATTCCTTGCTTTGGCTCTGTCATGTTGTTTTCTTTCAAGGAACCAGGAGAGAGCTTGCAGTCTGTCTGTCTTGCTTCTTCATAATAAATAGTTTTGATAACCCCATTTATGAATAATGTTAGATTGGAGGAAAAACATACTTTGTCTTGAAATGGCAGCAGGGAGAATATTTGAACTCCTGAAAAGTGAATAATAAGGTTCATTTACATAAACAAGTGGAGTTTCAGAAATTAACTCTAAATACTGTGATCTGACTGCAGAATTTTAAACATAGGTTAATGTTTTGGGTTAGATTTTGTTATTGTTATTGTGCTTTTTTAGAGGATTTGAAATTCTAGGATCATGTCGAGACTTTATAACATCTCTGATACATTTTTAAAAATTTTATGTAATGAGTACCGGGTTGATTCAACATTAGAAATTCTCAACATTGCACTGAATAGTATTTAAAGGATCCAATACACGAGCATTGCAAAGGACCCTGAAAGTCAATCCCAGGCAATACTTTTTGATGTGATTAATGAAAAATCAGCTCTTTCCCTTTCTATTTGATCACTTTCTTCAGATAGGAAGAACTAAGGAGGACCAAACCTTCCTATATGACTTACCCAGTTGATGGGACAAACACTGCAGAGCTGATGTGAGAAGGACTAGGCCTTATGAATTGTGTATGAATTGTCCTCTGGGGCTGCACGAGCTCACCCCCACAGTGAGGGGAAAATGTATTCACAGAGAGTGAGGCAACCACTTAACAAATCACTTCTTCCATGGCTGTAGGAGCCAGCTACACACCTTGAAACGCAGGCTCATCTGCTCTGCACCTGTGTGAGTCCTTGCCTCTCAGAGGCGAGTTCATTTGCCTTGATCAGAGCAAAATGAGGCAGGCTTAGAATTTCACTTTGAGGAAATGTCAAAGGGTGGATGACAAAAAATAAAAATGGGTGACTCGAGGGCAGCAAGTCCTGCTTCCCCAGAAGGTTTCCTTGTCAGGCCCTGTAGGCCCCTCTCTTGGCTGTATGCCCGGTGGAATCACACAGGAGATAGGAGGAGGCGTTCCTGCCAGACCACATGGCTGGCATTTTCTGCCCGGTCCTCCCCATTATTCTGCCTCAGCTCCCACACTGGGCAGAGAGCAGACCTGCTGCAGAGCTTTGCTATTTTTACTTTTCTGTGAGGGGATCTCAGGTTACAAATTATATACCGATGAGGTAAGTTACAGGTACGCAGACTCATGTTTCTAATTTAGCTTGGCACTGGTTTCAAATGTTAAATAGTTCTCGCCCAGCTCTCCCTGTTTCCACTCTCCTCCCATCTTTGGCATCTCATTTCATCCTGATTCTGAGGGTCCCCTTCCTTTCCTGCTGGATCCCCCCAACTTTCATGCCGCTTAGAGGGAGCAGTGTGGGAGAGTTACATTTCACATGGGATCAGTTTCTACACATACACCTCGTTACTCAGCTGTGGCGGTACTGCACGTACATTCTCCTAAGAGGTGAATATTTGTCAGAGACTTTAGAGGTTTCAGTTGCTTTCACACATATTGTACAGTTAAGCTTTGCAACAGCCTGGAAAGGTCGGGATTATTCTAATTATCTGTAATTTGCCGATGAGAAAATGAGGACTCAAAAGGGTTAATGATTTGACTAAGAATTCTGCAGCCAAGATGAAGAACAGACCGATAGATGAATACGTAACAAACTTCTGGCTAGAAGGCCTTCCCTCCAAGCCTGCTTCTGGAGAAGCAGAATTCTCCCTCCTTCCTTCTCTTCCTCTTTCCCTCTCTCCCATCTTTTCTTCTTCCCTTCCTTCTATTCCTCTTTTCCTGTGTTTCGGGCCAAGAATTAAGTCTCCAAGAAGCACCTGAATGTCAAACACACTGTTTTCTGGATTTTGCTTTATGAATTTGAAACTTTAGTGTGAATTTAAGTAGAATGGAAGGGTCAAGGAATAGGGAACACCAAAGTTAGGTTAAAATAAACAGAGGCTATTAAGAATCAGGATCTAAGTTCCTGCTTATTTCTCTTTCTTAAGAGATTAAAATGCAGTTTGCTCAATTCACATTCAGACAGTATGCCCATCTTAGCTTTTATGGATGGTTCAAAGTACTTATATGGCACTATACCTATCTTTAGAGTTTATAATAGAAGAATTAATACGTAAAAATGTGAAAATAAGACACTATGACAGATCTGTTCTGTATACTTGGCAACTAGTGTTTCTCCCTAGGGAAGAAATAGCTCTAATTTCAATATATAGTTCTGAATTGTGCATGCTGTGTTGTAAATGGGCCACTACCTGTTGCTTTAGACACATTTGTCACTATACCTGCTCGTTACACAAACAGACACAGAGTCATACACTGCCCCAGTGTGATGCTCAGTTATTCTCCAACCTACTTCCTGGTTGCTGATTTTTGACTGCAAGATTGTGAACTGCTTAATCTTAGGAAGAGTACCTCTTATTTAATTTTATTTACTTACTTACTCCTTTATATATCTTTAGTATTATCTTACTAGTTGCACAGACAACAATGTTAGTTCAAGTTTGGGGTTTTTTTTGTTATTGTTGCTGTCTTTTAAAAAATTCTTAGGGTTGTATTCTTAATAAATTATAAGGATTCTCTGTCTATTTTAGGTACTTTTTGGCCAATATTTCTTGTAAACATTTTCTCCTACTTTGTGTCTTTTTTGCTTTTTTTGCCTTGTTTTTTAGATAGCATACATTTCTTATTCTTAATCATTTTTATTTCTTATACTTTGTGTTCTTTGTGACCTGTTAAGAAATATTTATCTCACTCAACATCATAAAGATTTGTTCCTATTTTTCATTTAGAAACTTTATGGTTTTAGCTCTTATTTTTAGTTCATCATTTTTTTCTATGATTCATTTCATGCTATTATTTGTATATGTTGCTGAAAATAAAGGCTTGCTTTTATATTGTTTCTTAAGAAAAATTTTAGTTGTCCCAGCATCATTTTTGGGAGTTTATCTGTTCCCTGTTGAATTATTTTGATACCTTTGTTAAACATTAATTGACCATGTAAGTCTGAGCCCACTTCTGTGTTCTGTTCCTTTGATCTGTAGATCTATTTTTAGACTTTTGTTGGTAGAACTTTATAAGTCCAGAAATCAAATAGTGTAAGAATTCCAACTTTGTTCCTCTTTTTTAAAAAAATACTCTTCCTATTCTAGAACTTTGAGTTTTCCATGGAGAGTTTAGAACCAGCTTATCAATTTCTTCCCCAAAATTTTTAGGATAATCAGAATAATTCATTGAATTGTAAATATGATTTTTTGATATGCTTAGGTTTATGTCTGCCTTTATTATTTTCTGTTAGTTCTCTTTCTGTTTTGTTCCTATAGTCCTTCCTTCCAGCTTTTTGTAGATTATTTGAATTTTTAAAATTTCATTTATTTTTAACTGGCTTTTCTGAATGTACAAATGTCAATATCCTGATTACGATATATTTAGTTTAGATAGTTAATATGTTACTATTGAGGAAAATAATTATCTCAATGTAAAAAGTTTAACTTTAAAAAGACATCACTAAAACTTTAATGGTAGGTCATAGATTGAATGAAAATATTTATAAAATGTGTAGCTGGGAAATTACTTGTATCCAAAATTTATATTAAAGAACCAAAATTCTTACAACCTTATAATAAAATGACAAATATCCAAATAAATTTCTGGCAAATTATTTGACTTCACAATCTCAAAAGAACTTACAGGTCCAGGGATTTAGCTCAGTGATTCTGCTGCCTGCCTTCAAGGGCCCAAGTTTGATCTCTGGTACCAAAAAAAAACCAAAAAAAAAAACCCAAAAACAAATCAGAAGAAGTTACATGAATGGCTACAAAACATAAGAAAAAATGTTTGATAACATTAGCAAAAAGGAAAGGAAAAATCAATACTACAATGAAAACAACTACGTATCTGCCAGAAAGGCCAAAGTTAAAGAGATACAAAATGAATGTATAAAAATCAATAGTATTCCTGTATACCAATAATGAACTCACCAAGAAAAAAATTAGGAAAACAAAACTGTTCACCACAAAATGGAGAAAAATTAAACATGAATTAACCTAACCAAGAAGTGGGAAAAAGTGGTGATAGAAGAGTATAGTTCATCAGAGAATGAAAGATGACCCTTGTTCCTGGGTAAGCAGAACCAGTATAGTCAAAAGTCTCAAAACTGATTTGCAGATGTAATGAAATCCCAATCAAAATACCAACAGCATTCATCACAGAAATGGAGGACACAATCCTAAAATTTACATGGAACCAGAAGAGACCCAGATAGCAAAAGCAATCCTGGGCAACAAAAGCAAAGCAGGAGGCCTCACAATTGTGGATCTCAAGTTATATTACAAAGTTACAATGATGAAAACAGTGTGGTACAGACACATGGATCAGTGGAACAGAATAAAGGATGAAGAAACAATCCCAGGCAGTCAGTTGTCTGATCTTTAACAGAGGTACCAAAAGCACTTGACAGAGGAAAGATAACATCTTTAGCAAATTAGCTATACACATGCAGAAGATTGAATCTAGACTCAGATCTCTTACTGTGTTCTAAACTGAAATAAAAATGGATCAAAGATCAAAATATTAAAACAGAAACAATGTGATAGAAGATAAAAATAGGTAAAACTCCTGAAGATATAGGCATAGGCAAGGACATCCTATACATAACCCCAATTGCACAAGAAATAATAATATTAAGAATCAACAAATGGGATTATATCAAATCAAAAAGCTTCTGCACTAACAAACTGAGGAGACAGCCCACATAATGGGAAAAGAATTTTGTCAGTTTTTCCTTGCACAGAGGAGTAGAGTCTAGAATTCATAAAGAACTCAAAAATTCAGACCCCCTAAGAAGATCCAATCAAGAAAGTGGGTAATGGAAATGAATACTTCTCAGAAGAAGAAGTACAAATGGCCAATAAATACGTGTAAAAAATGTTCAACATCTCTGGCCATTAGAGATATGCAAGTTAAAAAGCATCGAGATTCCATTTTATTCTACAAAGGGTGGCTGTCATCAGGAAATTAAATAATAACAAATGCTGCCAAGGCTGTGGGGAAGAAAGGATCCCTCCTACATTGATGATGGGAATCTAAGCTAGTACAACCAATATGAAAATCAGTATGGTGATTTCTCATAAAGCTAAAAATAGAAATTCCATTTGACTCAGCTATTCTCTTTCAAGGTATCTTCTTGAAAGAGTTAAAGATATTACAGTACATTACAGTGATACATGCACACCCATGATTATAGCAGCACAATTCACAATAGCTTAAACTTGGAAACAGTGATATGTCCATTAACACATGACTGGATAAAGAAAACATGATATTTATACACAATGAAGTATTACTATGTTATAAAGGATAATCTTGAGTCATTTATAGGGAAAAGTATGGACCTTGAGACCATAATATTAAGTGAAATAATAAGACACACAAGCTTAAATACTGCATGTTTTCTCTTATATGAGAAACCCAAAGTATAAATAAATTAAAGAATAAAATTAAAGATAGGTAATAGGAAGGAGGGACATAGATCCTTTGCAAAAGGGAAGAGGACCAAGAGATTGAGGAGAGTAGCATTAGGGGAGGGGGTGGAGAAAGAGAAGAATTAAGGTGTGTTGTGCGCATGTAGCAACTCCCCATGGTAAATGCAATCATTATGGATTGCAAACGTGTACTAATAAAAAATGAAAAAGAAAACTGAAGGATTGGCAATATTGAAGGTTGACAAGTGTATGGCAATTTTATATATTGTTGGTGGGAATTTAAAATGGTACAACCACTTTAGAAAAAGGAAGGACAATTTACTATTGACACCTAAACTGGGATGTAAAAATTCCACAACTGAGTATTTTCACAAGAAAAGTCAGAGCATCATCATTCATAGAAGTCAAAGTGCACATGGCTGAGGTGTCCATCAATAGCGTGGCTTCACAGACCACAGCATTTCCACACAGTGCATAACTCCTAATCAATAAAAAGGAACAAACTGATACAACCGCATCGGTGACCCTGAAAAGTACTATGCTGTGTTGGAAGACGTGTGACATAAGATTCTATGTATGTGAAGTTCTAGACTAGACAAAACTAATTTATAGTTGAAAAATCAGACTAGTCATTTGGCAAGGAGGTGCGCAGTGCGAGTGAATAGACTTGGCAGGCCAGAGGGAACGTTTTGTGGGGAGCGAGCGTGTTCTCTGTCTGGCAGAGTTTGGAATTATGCAGCTGTCTCTTATTTGTCAAATCTCATCAAATAATATACCTAAGATTTATGTATTCTATGATATGCAAATTTTACCTCTAATAATATAAAGACCCTTAAACAAAAATCATTTGATAATATTAGGAAATTACTATTTATTTCTAATTACTGTCATTTACTGACAATATTAGATTTTTCTGCATTACATGTAACTACAAAATATTAGTAGCTTGTAACAATGGGCGCTTTTTTCTTCCTCATGTGTCTGTATGTTGCCTGTGGTGACTCAGCTTCAGGCTATAGGTTTATGAGTTTGTAGCCTTTGCTCCAAGCTTCAGGTGGGGCCCAGGATTTCTCCACCTGTTTCTTATCCTTGGTGAACCAATGCTTATTGGAGGTGTGCTTTTCTTATGGAAAAGCAGGAGTATGTGAGCACAATGCCAACCATATGAAACTACTCTCCAGCTTTGCTTGAGTCAGGTCTCATGTTTTAAATAGAGCAAGTCACATGGCCAAACCTAAGTTGAAGGAGTAGGCAAATACTGGATGCTAAGCCAGGGTATGGAGAAATAATTCTAACAAGGCAGTGCACATGAAGAATTATGACCATTAAGTCAATCAACTAGGATGTGATTATGGTATTGTGTTAAAGATTTTCAATGTGACTTTATTTTTGGACATACATACTGAATTACTTATAGAGAAAAAGATATCTGAAATTTGTATCAAAATAATCTGAAAAGGCAGAAGTGGGTAGAGGCATAGAGAAGAAAAGATTGGCTAGGCATTTATAATGACTGAAGCTGGGTGTGGATACCAGGAGATGAAGTATGCCATTCTTTCTACTTTCCTATATATTTGAACTTTTCTGTGATAAAATATTAAATATAAGCTGAACGAAATTATTTGTTAAATTTGTCCTTTTTATATACAAGGAAACTGAAGTCCTGAGAAGATGTGTTGTTTGTTCTGTGATGAGACAGCTAGTTACTGGCAGAAGGAAGCCAGGATCCAGGCCAATATTTTCCACTTGATGTGGCTTTCAGTCATTTATTTGGTAATTCATCAAAAATACTTTTTTAAACACTAAGATCTATGTAAAGTGTTATGGACAAAGACAAGTTCTCATTCCCTTAAATCTCACTTAGCATGTCAATGTATGTATCTAAACAGATTGCAGGGCTGAGGGCACACTGACATGTTATGAGGGAGGTACACAAAAATCCATGGGGCACAGGAGAAGGTAGCCCTAAATTTAACTGGGCAAATCTAGAAGGCTGCATGGATGAGGTAGGACATAGCCAGAAAATTACAGTACTTGTTGGATAAGCCCAAGACTGTAAGGCAGGCAGGGGAAGCAGCACATGGAAAGGTCCTAATGTGAAAGAGGATAAGGGATTAGGATACTTTGGGGGAGGTGTGTGTATGTGTGTGTATTTAGGGGTCCTGGGGAAGGAAGGCAGAAGGAGTAAGGCTGAGCTCACATGCTCTGCACACGAGTGAGATTTAGTTACTTGGTCAGTGTTGCCTCACCTAATTATAAGACTCACATGAGGCTCTCATTTCAGGACCTTAAGTCCTGGCTCCAATCGAATGCATCAAAGCCTTTAGAGGTGAGACAAGTGTTTTAAAGAACAAGACCAGGGGAGCTACTGAAGAATTTTAAGCAGAGGAGTGATGCTATCAGATTTGTGTGTTAGCAAGACCACCCTGTCAGCGGCACAGAGGTGCATCTGGTGAAAGCCAGAGTCAGGGAAGAGGAATCAGATGGCTGCTTCAAGAGGCATAATGAGTTTCTGAGCCATGACAGCAGCAACAGTGATGGAGAGGAAAAGATGCTCCAGAGCGGGAACTGAGAGGTTGCAGGGGCTAATTGCCTCTGGAGAGGATGAGGAGAATTCTACTTTCAATGTGGGCTCGATGGGTGGTTGGATAGTGCTACTGTTCACTTATAGGCAGGGAGCTCAAAGTTTCAGCATAAGGAGTACCGCACAGGAGCAAGCTCACTTTGGGTTTTATGTAGCGTGAGGTACTTTTCGTACATACAGAGAAAAGTGTCCAATGGGCAGGTCTGGAGCTTAGGAGGAAAGTCTCAGCTCGAGAGATTTAGAAAGAGCTAAACAAAAGGAAAAGCTAGTCAAAACTCCAGGTTGATTTTGGATTTCTCATGTAGATCATATGGTTTGAAAACAAAGTCAGGTCCCAGGAAAGCAGTAATATCACGTAAGGGAGAGTTAGAAGGGAAGCCCAAGGGAAGGAGAAAGAGAAGGGGAGTAGGACTTCAGAATGAGGGGGAGAAGATGTGCACACAGTTACAAGTGAGGGCAGGAACCTGGTCACTGGATTCGGCAAAAACCACGGGTGGTTGTTGGCCTTGGTCAGGATGGAACAGGTGAAATACTGAAGTCAGAGCTGTGAATTGAGGCATGAGTAGACTGAAGGAAGAAGAGAACAAAATGGGCAACTCTTTCTAGAAGCTTTGTCCAGGAAGAAAATACTCCCTTTCTCTCCCTTAAGTAGGGCGCCGGATTTTTTTTTTTAAGAAGAGGAGTGATATAATTATCTTCTTTTCTCTTGGCAACACCCGTGCTTCTTGACAAGTATGAAAGTTTACTTGTTCACATGTTTGAAATAACTGATTCAAATGCTTTTTAGTTCTCTTGTTCAAAATTTATTAGCTAGTCATTCATCGTTAATTTATGGCATAGATTTAATAATTTGGAGTAAATTCGTATGACACAGTTCAGATGGAACTACATTATGTGAGAAAGAATACATACTAATCTTATTCACTGAGCAACCAAGTACCTGTGATTCGCAGCTGTTCTTATATTAGTGACATTCATACACCTTTGTGTATATCAGGAGGGATCTTTTTATACCTGCTTGTGTAAATTCTAAAACTAATTTACATTGAAAATTTATCAGATTTTCCCCAAGTTTTCAAAATCAAGATTTCGAGAGGCTATTGATAGATTTCTAAATGTGAATTTTGAGAAAAGCTGTCAGGAAAATCATACATTGGTATTAATTTTTTCTCTGTGATTAATTTTTTCCTTTGAAAATCACCTGGGATTCTGTGATAAGGTTTTAGAATGCATATCTGTTTGTTTTAAAGTCCTACTTTATATTTTATCTGTTTATATAATAATTCAAGCACTTCTCTTTGAAATTTATGTTTGATTACATACTGCATTCTATTTCAGTCAAACTGAGAACATTTATTACATTCTTCAACACTGAGTAACTTAGCTGATATGAAGTAGGATTTTAGAAAGTAACTTGTTCTTAAATTCTATTCTGAAACCTGTTAACCCTGCTGCCTCCTTCCTTTCCCTCCCATTTTCATCTGTAAATCTGAGAACATTTTTAGGATGAAAAGAATCACAGGAAATAAATGAAATGCAGATGAGCTCTGTAGCTGTGCTATCATGAAAACTGTAATTTTTCTGGGAAGGGTCCTATAAAAGGGACTGGCCGTTTCTCAGCAGGAAGATGAGACATTGCCTGTGCTGTGCAGCTCCACTGCTCCTCCTGGGTGTGCAGGCTTTGCCCACCCTAGTGCTATGCTTTGAACCTTTGTGTCACTGTCCACCCCATTCCTATGTTGACATCCTAGCTTCCAAGGTGACAGGAGTAGGAGGTGAGGCCTCCAGGGAAGTGCTGAGGCTCTGCCCTCATGAATGGGATGAGGGCTCTTACAAAAGAGATCCCAGAGAGCCACCTTGACCATTTCCCATGTGAGGATGTAGCAGGAAGTTACCATCTGTAGAACAGGAAGTTGTATTGCACCCGACACCTAATCTTTTCTTACCTTGATTTTGGACTTTGCAGACTCTGGAACTACGAGAAATTTCCATTCTTTATAAGTTATGCAGTTTACGGTATTTTGTTACAGCAGCTCAAATGGACTAAGATAATTAGACTTTGGCAAGAGAGTTTTCTGCCTTGGGCATACATTTAATGTCCAGCCCTGGCTCCTCTCTGGCCTTATCTGAGAGGTTAAAGCCATGTCCCTGTGCCTAGCTGAAGGCTAGGTCACCTCTACCTCAGACCATGTGCTGGAATCTCATGACCTCAGAATTTCCAGCCCAGCTAGTTCCAAGCTATTTCATGGGGCCTGGTGCCTCCCTACTGTAGCTGCACTCATTTGAGGACTATCCCACTCCTGGTAGCGGGGTGGCCAGCAGCACTGTGAATGGCACTTGGATATTTCGGACTAGATAGCAACATGTGATCACAGGAGGCCCTTTGCTATGTCAGATGGGGCTGAAGTGAGAAAAGCAGGAGGTGGGTTTGGGATGGGGCAGCAGAAATGCTCGCATGTCCTAGTGTGGAATTCTGTGGGGTCCTTATTCAAGTCTGAGCTTAGAGGTCATTCTGAATGTACATTTTCATTGTACATTCAATGGAGAGGCTGTATTTTATGAAATGATTAGCTGCTAGCTTGATTTTCTTTAAGTTTGAATTCTATGTGTAGGGGCCTCAGTTTGTACTTTTGCCCAGGGTTCCTCATATTACAGGTAGGCTGTGTGTGAGGTGAGACTCTAGGCAGCTCTGTGTCAGTGGAGATGAGTCTTTCATCTGACATGTAATCAACTTATGTAATTATGCATGTGGGTCAGGATTTGGGCTCCATTTCCCTGTTGAAGAGCAACCTGCTTTGAATACCAGGGTAGAAGCCTTGGCAACCCAACTGACTGATTATCCCATCCCCTGGTTGCTTGGTCTCTGTATCCTAGGTTTGGCTGGCTTTGACTTAAGTGGATACAGTTGGAATCCAGATGCTACCCTCTACTTGGTACCAAACAACATAGCCACACGAACTATTTCTGCAGTGTAAACTGTGAGCCAAGTCCTTCAGGTAAACGCTTTCTATTCTTGCATTACAGAGGAAGGAAGATGTTGTTTTCAGGTAGGTAGGGAAATTGAGGCTCAAAGAGGTGACCTAATATGGTTGAAGGCACACAGTAACTACTAAAGTAAGGTTTGGAATCCCAGTATTTCTGACTTCAATTTTTTACTCCACCACTTAGGAATTCTCACTCCCAGGTTGTATCCATCAGCTCACTCGGAGCACATGGCAGCCACACTTTACACTGAGGCCAGGTTCTACTAACGGGCTGTGCACTTTCAAACTTGGACCATTCTCTGAGAGAAACAACCTATGCCCGAATTAGACTGCCTCCTCTACGTTTTCCTTTCTTGGTGTGTCTTTCTTTCCATTTGCCCTAGAGCTGAGACTTTGTCCTGCTTGTAGCAGATGCACACTATTCATGTGTTAACTGCTATTGGAAGTTATCTTCCATTTGGGTCTGAATTTCACCAAAAAGTGCAACAATCCCTAGTCTGGCTCTTCTACTGTCAAACTGAGAAGGCTAGTAAGATGCATTTAGTGTGCTAGAACACAAAATTCAGAAAGATCCTTAACATCTGCTAAAGTGAGCCTCATTCCAAAAACCTTTACAATGAAAACTGTATATTAATTTCCTTTAAAATATTAATATTTTATAAACTTATTAAAGCCAGTCCAGGATATGAAATTCAGTCCGTCTGAAAGCAATTGTGCTCAGTGTCAGAGGCAAATGATCTTGATTTACCACTCATAGCCATTTATACTTCAGTGAAAATTTCAGTCTACACTAACCTAGCTGATTAGAAAATTATGCTAATGAAGGGAAAAATCAACAATTGGTAACTATGTGGGTCAGTTAATTATCTTACTTCCAGTCTTACCTATGACTCTGGGCTGGCCAGCTCACTGAGTTTTGTACAATTATACCTTAGTGTGGCAGGTGGAAAGTTGGAGACAGGTCAGGGCCAGTACAGGAAATTCATGCCTAGCTGATGTAAATCAAAGGTCTTATTCATTGCTTTCTTTAGTCATTCTTTGACTTATTCAGTAAACATATACTGAACAGCTTTCGTGATATTATTTAGTAGGGTTTTATGCCATAGTAATATGTAATTCTCACAACAATCTTATCGTCTCTTTACTTAGGCTCCGAATGATTAAGAAAACTCCAAGTCCATGTTTTGTGGGGAAAGATCAAATCAGAATCCAAAGTCAGGTTTTCTGACTCTGTCTTCAGGATTGTTTCCCATATACTGTGGCAATCATCTAAGAGAGCATCACTAAAATAGTTTAAGTATTTTATAGGTGATTTTAATTCAGAAAACATAGAAAAGTTACTAATTACTATATTTATATATTTTTGTTATACTTACAAAAATTAAGATTTTCAGAAATTCTTTGTTAAGCCACAAGGGAAATCAACATTCTAAATAATTTACAAAAGATAGTGTCCTAATTTAGTCTTTAAACTTCCACCAAAACATATTTCTCAACCTAGTGGGAGAGATTATCATTTTGACATAGTAAAACATTCCCCCAACATTTTTACTTCAAGGATAGTTTTATTTTCATTTATAAAAACCATGTTAATAATAAACTTTTGGTATTATAATGTTTGTCTAGACCAGGCCCCCATTTAGCTAATCAAATATCAATTTCCCTTAAAGTGACATTAAGCCATTTTCAGATTTTATCTTTTATATTTCTTTTAATAAAATTATTTCTATTGCATAATGCTCTAGCAAATTTTACAAGAATGGGGCATGTGTCAAATTTTACCAGGCATAGCTTCTGTCATCATGAATTTTATTTTTCTTTATTGCAGTTACTGTTTTTACCTAATTAAGAAAATTACAGGTCTGCAATTCATCAATAATTTTCTTCCTCAAAAAATATGAAAAAGATACATGAATATGGATGTATAGATAAATGTAGTTTTTATAAAGCTGACAACCTAATTCTAAATTTCCTGAAACAATAATACCCAGGAAAATGCTGAAAATTACAATAATGAAAGGCTATTAGCACTGGCAAATGTTAAAGCCTATTATAAATCTATAACCATTAAAACAGCACAGTACTGAATGTGAATATAGATCAATCAATAAGGAAAGATAAAAAGCTATAAGCCCAAATATATAGTATAATTTAGCATATAATAAATGTGGCACTGAAAATTCTGGGGTAATTGATGAATGGTGCTGAGGTGACCAGGTAGCCAGTTCACATAAAAGGAAATTTAAGGAGTTCTTAAACACATGAAAAAAATGAACAACCTCACTTATAATAAGAAAACTGTACATTCAAACCCTAATTAAATATTTCTTCATCTGTGAATTTGGCAAAGATGAAAACACAAAAAAGGGTTTTGAGGAAACACTCTCATATCCTGCTGTTGAGAATCCAAGTAGGCCCAACCTCTTTGGGTAATTTATCCAGGTTTAAGATGAACACACCATTTACCCAGAAATTCTGTTCCTGGGTTTGTATTCTAATCATGCCTTTGGAAGGTATACAGGAACTTGATTAATGTTTTTATTCTGTAAATATACGTTTTGTGTCTCCTCAGTTTTATACATTGGCATATGTCTATGCTATCAATATAAAGATAATAATGGAAACAAAACTCATTATTCATTTAATTTTCAGTCAAGTACAAATTTAGCATATACAGTTTCAATTTTATGTTTTTGTCCTTTTCTTTCCATAAATCTAATTTTTTCCAGGTCAGATTATCAAAGTTCCAACAAATTTGTCCAAATCCATTTTTTGTTGTTGTCATTTTCATTTCATTTTGGTCATTATGAATTGTATTAAAAGGCTGACATTTTTATTTACTTTTTAGCTGCGACCTGAGAAAATTGTGAGGAATTCTCCATTGGTATGTGCTGTCATCATTAGTGGCAAAACAAGAGCCAAAAAACAAAGAATATCTTCAGCTTCAAAGTGGGAAGTCAAAATGTCCCATTAAAGTGACAACCTTTCCTTTTAAGATAACCCTAAATGTTATTATGAAGTTACCTAAATAGTAACACTTTCTTTGCAGCCACTATTGAATAACAATTTTCCTTTATTGATGTTTTGACATAAAGAGGACAGATTAGGGGCTAATATACTGGACAAATGACTACTTTCCCAATTAAAATATGCTGGTATGTACAATTTTTCAGATATCTGGTTGCCTGTAGTGTCTTTCAGCAAACCACATCCTGAGTGGGGATCTAGCTAGGTGATGAATATTAAGTCCCCATCTACAGCCGCGCAAATGAAAGAAGCTTTTATTTTGCATGTTAAAAATCCATGATTAGAAAGATTGCTATAAATAATATTAGGAGCATTGACAAAGTTTGATTGAACTCTGCATTTTCTCCAGTTTTCATAAGGCTGAAATAATTCTTTACATCCCTGGAGAATCAGGGAAGGGTGTGCCTAAAGAACTGCTTCACTCAGCAAGCATTTATTGAGTGCCTACTTTACACCAGGCTTTAGGCTACATGGGCCCTGAATTTAAAAAGATAAGTCAGACGTGTCTCTGCAGATCACAGGACACTGGCATGTATTTAATCCTTGCCTTTTCCTACTGCATTGCCAGGTAGCTGGATGGAACTGAATGTGATTATTTGTTAGATCTTTCACATACATCCCAGAAACAGAAGACTTCAGCTTTGCAGAGCAGCTAAGAAAACTTTTTTTTTTTTAAAGGGAAACAGTAAAGTTTCACTCTTACAGTTTCCTCTGTATCCTGTGCCATTAAGATGCCAATTGATTGCTAATTGCGCTGCATTATCCATAAGCCAGCTACAAACATGGTTAATGGCATGCTCTTTGTTGTAATTTAGGGGCAGTGACTACAGTCTGTCTCTTTGTACTTGGAAATGTTTCTTTCTGAGCCTACAATGTGTCTGGCATGCAAGGGCCTGAGGAAGCTTAAGCAGAAACCTGGCCCCATGAAACATAATCCTACCACACCCTGAAATGGAGATGGCTGTTTGGTGCCAGCGTGCACACAGATGGGGAGTGGAAGACTTGTCAGCCAGAATTGTGAAAGGTGCTACCACACAGCCAGTCGGTTCTGCCAAAGGAGAAAGCCACCTGCCAAGGGCAAATGTGAATGGCTATGAAAATCGTGTTTTCCTTCTGTCAGAGTGTGTTCAGAGCACTGAGAGTAGACTGAAGCAAAGTAGCGAGCAGCAAGCAACCCTTCCCTGCTAGAGGGAGTGTCTGTTTTGAGTTCAAGATTTGTCACTATCAGAAATAAGTAATGGATTCCTAAAACACTGCAAAGCAAAAGTTTGAACATGGTTAAAAAATAAAAATAACTCCTGTTGCATTGACCTGACAGCTGGAACTCAGCTGGAGAGAGAGAGGAAATTATCAGGGATTAAAGTAATGTGACACCTGGCTTCAGGATCTGTATGAACCCTCATGGAAGGCTGGGGGTAGCTGGAATATTATTATTAAAAACAAGGAAAAAAGTAGGTCTCTTATACATCCGGAGTAGTTTTAGTTGTCCTAGCATTGACCACATCTTCTATTAGCTTCCCTAATTTTCACACTTTCCTTTTTTGCTGAAAAACAAAATAGATTTCTCCAAGGCTTGTTTCATCTGCACTTTTACAACTGTTTTTTAAACAGATTACTTACTGTTTAGGAGGATTAGTTCCCTAGCAATCTGTGACCTTTCTAACTATATCTCTTTGGCCATTTAGAGCAGTCCCTATCTTCTACTCAAACCAGACCTTTGCTGTTTCTGGTTAAAGATTGTTCTCAGTTCTTTTCCAGATTTACTGACTGCAACATATTCTTTATAAAAATAGATTTGTGTTGTGGACACTTTCAGAACCCCATTGAGACCGTCTTTCCATGCCAGTGCTGAATGCTCTATCCTGAGAGTGAACACTCTTAGCTTGGAGCTTCCCCTTCTCTGGAGAATCAATCAAGGCTGGGTGGGAGCCTTTTTATTCTGCAGCATATATCCCTAGCCTACAGTCAATGACTTGGAAGCATAAACATCAGCCCTGTTTCAAGACAGGACCAATTCTGAAGAGAAATCCATGATCCAGAGACCATGTAGGACTGGGCTGGAATGAGACTCCAACTCTGACCACATCCGGTGAGCTTTCATCTTCCTGGTCCTGCTGCCTTCATTCCCCTTGCAAGAACACCAACACACCAGTCCCTGTCTCAGGCTCTGTGTGGAGGGAACCTGGCTGTCATCCTCATTATAAATGTTTATGGCGGGTGGGTCAGAGTCTGGGAGTGGTAGTACATTTGGAGAGAGCTTAACACACAATTTACCTTAATAAGTGTTTGCTAAATGAATGGATTTTCCAGGCTTGATGTTTGGATTAAAAGCAACATAGCTATTATCAAAAGATCTATTTCCCAAGAAGGGCCAAGCTCCCTGATTCACTTCTGGACTAGAAAAGGAATGACTAGGAAAATTTCATAAGGCTTACTGCTGAATAGAAAGAAATCGATGATTGTTAATGATGTTAATTAATCAACAGGGATTACGCAGTGCCAACTTTTCCCAGCATGCCACTGAATACCTCGGTCTGTGGTAGGTTTGATGAAACAAAACAAAACAACCTTTTATCTTATGAGTGAAGTCATCTTATCTCAATGTAGAGACAAAACCTACTCCAATGAAACAATTAGAGAAATTGTAAGCCACAGTGTAATCATGTGCTAAAATGTATGGTATAGGTAATGAATTCCAAGGGATTTCAGAGAAGAAATCACTATGGGCGTTTACCAGTTAGGCAAGTCTTAGAGGAATAGGTGTGTGTGGGAGGGGCAGGAGAAAGAAGCCTCTCCAACTGGGCGAAGCGGTGAGAACAAAGGTGTGGAGATGATCACTAACTGGCCAGTGTTTGCCAGCATAGAGAAAATTAGAAGCTCATTTTCCCCTGAGTTCACACCTTTTCATATCCCTATCCCACTTTGGTAATTCCATTCATGATTCACTCATTGATTTACTTACCTAATCACCGAATATTTTTGAGTATCTCTTGTGTTCCAGGAACTGCATTGTATTTCAGGAACATGGGAATGAAGATCATAGCCATCTTTGCACTCAAGGAACTGACAGTCTCTAGAGGAGAAAGATCAGCATCAGACACTCGGAATACACAGTGATCCTGGTGCTTCAGAGTCAACACAGTGCTTAGACAGAAAAGGAGAGGCACAAAACCCAGACCTGGAGAAAGGTCCAAAAAAGGTCCCTCCAGAAATGACATCTAATTTAATACCAAAAGGATGGGCAGAATTTAACCTGCTGAGGTAGGGTGCGAGGAAAAATTTCTAGAAGTGCATGGGACTTTGAAACAAGGACATAGATCAGTAGGACTGATATGTAAGGAACACAGAGATGAAAAAGAAAGGAGTACCAGGGCCCAGACCAGCGACCACCGTGTGACCGCGCCAAGGAGTACGGATTTCCTGTCAAGGACTAGGAGAGCACTGATTAAATGTTAAAATTATACGGTCAGGTTGTTATTTCTGAAACATTGCTTTAGCTGGAGTAGTGCGAATAATCTGGAACAGAGTAGGTGGGAAGCAGATAGATGCACAGATAAGCTTCGCTGTGCTCCTGATAAATGGAGGTGGGAATGGTTAGCCAGGGAGTGAAGAGCCACAGAAACATGTGCTTGCTTCACTGGTGTCCAGACGGAGAAGGGGCACGTATAACACTGGAGAACTTAGCTCAAGCAATTAGGGTGGGAAGCGATGCCATTTTCAAGATAGGGGACATGAAATGAACAAGTTTGGGGAAAAGATGATTATCCAGTTTTGGGTGTGTTGAGTCTGAGAGTCCTGGGGGTATTTAAGTGAAGTTTTGAATAGGTGGGTCTGAAAATGAGAAAAGTTTTGAGACGGTGAGACAGATTTGGGGTTTCTACTAACAAACCGTTAATCTATTTTGTATAACAGTATCACCACCCTATCATGCTTCTTTCCCTAAGGGACTTATGGCATTTATGAACCTCTCTGAAGCTATATGCAAATGTTTAAGTATGAGTAAATATGTATATTTTCCTGGTACTGGCTGCCATAAATTTTTATGAGATTTTCAGACCCTCCCCAGACTAAAAATGAATTAGGGTCTCTTTTGTCTGCTTTCCTCTTTTCATTTTGTTCATGAACTAAGTTCTCTGGTTTTATCTATAAAGTAATATTTATATCCTCCTCCTTCCCTCATTGTTCATTTTGTAGTTCAGATACTTAGAGAATTTTTATACTTTATTTTCATTGGAACAGCTCAATGCATGTATTTATACATACATTTCTCCATATTGCTATCAATTTATATTAAGCTATGCATCCACTCAATAAGTAGCAGAAAGCCTTACCTTTGTCGGCCATTCAGTTTATTGATTTTTGTAATCCCATTATTAAAATTTTAGACCCAGTTTAAAGCCTCTGTAATCAAATTAGACATTGTGAGGCTTCTGGAAACTGGATGCTGAGGGCTAGGGTATGGATTTTACTTTATCTCTTTCCTTCTCATCTCAGAGCTGTTCTGTAGACAGGGCAGTGATGAAGGTGAGGGAAAAAGGAATTCATGCCTGTGGTGGCCAGCATTGCGGAGGTGGCAGCTGGCAGACCTTGTTCCTCCGCCAGTGGATACTCCCCTGGTCTAATCTCTGGATGTTGGTTATCAGCCTACGGTTAGGCAGTGCTGTCTGTGTCCTAGGTGGTTTTGATGTCTGACCAGTAGGCTCAAGGAAGCAGTGCAGTTTCTTCCCTTTGTGGTAGTGGGTGGCTCTCTGTGCTATTCGTCAGTAGTTATTCATCAGTATGGCCAGCCTGCTGCTGTCCACCTCTCAGTTGGTGACCTGGCCTAAGTCTACAGGGAATGTGGAACCCTTGTTCAATTTATGTGAAATTAGAAGGTAGGAGTAACCTTAACATGGTAGGATTCACCTTACTCTGTCTTAGGATTCACAATTCAAATGTTAGAGGTTTATACCAGGCTCCCCTTTCTAATTATGTTCTCAGATTTCATGATTCTCTAGGGAACAAGTGGAATGGTAGGGTAGGGAAAAATAAGTCAGATTTCTCCCCCCATGACATGGAGAGGAGACAAAGAGAGTAAATAATGACTCATAGATCAGTTCTCTCTCCTCAAATGCCTCCTCTCCCTTCTTTGTTTACTTCACAGGATGCTCTCCTGATTCTTCTGAAGTGTCCCCCATTAGCAAATCCTAAGCCAGGGATGTTTAGCATCACTGGTTTTCAGCCCTGAGTAGCCT